CTTGTGTTGGCGCCCTGATAAGCCGCTGTGCTCTTAAGACGCCCTTCTGTCTCCTTGTGTGGCATAGGCATTATGCCGTTGAGGAACGGAATATTGATTCACGGTGCAGGTCGCTTTTAGCATCTATTTTAAGCGCGTTTCTTGCACGTGAGAAATACCCCTCGCTTCGTAGCATTAAGTATTTCATACTCAGCATTGTTTCTCTTTTCAATTTGCAATAAAGCCATACATTTTTATCTCTGTTTCATTACTTGACAACCGTTTAAAGATGAAACGATCATGTGTCGGCAAACAATAGAAAGGATGTTAGATTGTACATCATTTTGCGCTTTTTGTATTTATCTCTTTAATCAACGGAGATAAGCATATTTATAGAATTATCGTAACAAATAAACAGAAATAATTGTTTTAGCACATTTTCTTTTAAAATACATTTGGACGAAGAACGCATTATTTCACTAATTCTAATGAATGACGAAAGTGTCAGTAATAACCATATTTAAGGTACGACAATATGAATTTTTTCTTATGTTTGAATTTTTCTTCGTGTTTTCTTTATGCCGTTATTAAGCAGAAGATCTAAATATTCTTAAGTACCAAAAGGCGAAGCTCTAAATATTTTGTAATATCCCCATCACAATGTTTAAACTCAATTCTGCTGCTGCAGATTTTTTAGTTTGGACCGCTGATATATCCTGTTGTCAGTAGTAACCAGTATCTTTGATAAAAAGTGGATAGATTCCATGCCATTGCTTTTTAATCATTATCGCTTATCGAACTTTTGCTATGCCCCTAACTAGAAATAGATTTATTTGCCGTCAACATTGATATATACACACACGTTAAATTTGTTAACGAAGTTTGATACCAACACCGATCGATTTCAGTGTCAAATTGCACGGTTTAATACGTCGGCTGAATGCTCTAATTGGAATAATTAATCTGAAATCGACTGTATATTCACAAAATCGCTTTATAACAACGTTATATTTACTTAATGTCTCGTTCTGGCTTTTCAAAAACATGTTTGGTCATTTGCTGAGAGAGAGAACGAATTTTCAGCAACCACGATATAACTACGCTCATAAGCATTTTTATAGGACCATTTTACTTTTCTGAAGTGGAAGAGACTAGTTCTGTTTGATCAGATAATCGCAGAGAAACCGTATTAACGAAGGTTCTGATTGAGTTGTGCATTTTAGACTTTGATGTCGTCTTTCAACATAAAATACATCAGTTTTACGCTGAGTTAAATTTATAAACATTCTAAAGTGGATAGAATGATTCGGCTTTGAATATGAAGACGATACGTTCTTCTGAAACGTCGGTAACCACCTACAAGACTACAAAGTGTCACAGTCCAGAATACCACAATACAGTATGTCTGGTTACATAAGTTTTTCTACATTCTGTTGCTGGATCATAATCTGAGCAAACCCATTCCTGCCTACACCGCAAAAAATACTTGTATGATGACATCTGTTACAGGCCTTGAAGCTCCCATTATCATGCTGACATAATTAATACTTTCCGTTTAGTTACGGTATTTGCATTAAAGTAATGTGTCTGTTGTGTTTTACGGGAATCCTGTTAATTGATTTCTCATAGCATTTTAGTCGCTTATCAATATATTCATTACCAATATATCCCGCAACCCTCGGTTTAAATTATTGTTTTATTTTGAAGTAACTATTTTTGAGCACTTGTTTTTCATGAACCCGCCACAATGCAGGAATTTGTATAGTCATTATCCGTATCTATAATTGACTTGAATGAGCAGACAAGACATTAGAACATTAATGTAACATGCTTTTATCATGAAAACTTGAATGTGTTATCCAGACAAACAACAAATAACATAATATGAAATGGAATTGTAAATATCGGATTGCTCGTATTATGTAATCATTTGAAATTGAGTTATGAGTTTTATAATCGACTCAGTTACTCTTTATTCTTGTTTTTATATCAAACAACTAAAACAGAAACTTATAAACAAAGCCAACCTGCTTTTTTGTAGTGGAATTTCTTTCACGCCTGCTCTAATATTTATTTCACAGTAATTCGTTATGTTATAATTTCTTAATAGTTATTGCTCCACAATTAATGTGGACCCAGTTGTTATATTACTATCATTTAGTCGCCAGGATTTTGTTTGTAAGAACGGGCGTATCACACGAATATTTCAAAGTTGGTATTAAAATAAGGAAGGTTTTATGAGACTCTTAAGATTATTTTTAAATTATAGTCGTTTTAAAATATTTATTGAATAAACTTGAATTTGGATCTGAGATTTTCACGGCGGTGAGTCCGAAGACAGCCATCTTCAAACTTAAAGCTGAGTGATAAAATTTTACTCCTTCCCTTCAGTTGTTGCATTTATATTGAATGAAGATGCTGTGACTGCGACGTTGCCATGGTGATAGCATCGATTAGCGACAGCTGGGTCATGTGAGGTCACTGCCTTCCTGACATTATCACTGATCACAGCCTTCTGGATAGTTATTGTGGGTGGGGGAGATTCGAATTTGTGTTTATTTTTGAGTATATAAAGAGAACTGTTCATATACCAGGAAATGTTTGTTGAATCTGGTAGACAGGACATCTCAGCTAACGTTACGGTTCAGTGTTGCCAACACATGGACTTTTATTGGCACTTGAAGATTTGGGGGAAAGTCATATGCTCCTAATTAGTGTACTTGGCCATACCACGTGGCCCTAATAGTTTAATATGAACCCGACATGACTAAGAGAAATGTTAGCTTTATCAGTTACACAGGATATGGTATCGAATGATAAATTTATTGTGATTGATGAGTTGACAATACAGAAGGAATCGGCTACGATCTACCTGATTTTATATTCCAACATCTTCCTGGAGGGACTGAGAAAAATTGTACAAAGCCTCGGTAAAGCCAGTCTCAGGGCTGGGAATAGAGCCCGGAACTTTATGAATGCGAAATACAATACGGCCTTGTACTTTTCAGTAACAAAGAATATTGACTTTCTTATTCTGTGATTACCGCTGACTTAGACAGTAGTTGTTGTTTATTAAGCAGCGCCTTTCTTCACATTTTAACTCTTCATGATGTAAGATACGAACACCTTCATGGTTTGAAATGGATCGATAGCTTATGTTTAAAGCTTAGTTGAAATACTTCTTTGCGTGCGGATCACTAACAATTAGTTTTTATTTTAATGTTGATGTAAATTTGTGTCATTTGTTGCAGAATACCTAGTAATTTTACTTCTTGTCTTTTATAACAAATTTTTTTAAATATGGCTGTCTTCTGGCTTGTAGCGCTGTGTAGTCTGGAAGAAGTTTACCAGCTTTTCAGAGGTCTTTACTGCCTCCATCATCAGGACAATGATTCGCAGTAAGGACCTCTGAAACGTTGGTAAACTTCTTCCAGACTACACAGCGCTACAAGCCAGAAGACATCCGCCTCGAGGGGAATGCAATTCCTTCATTCATCTTCAGCTTTGATTGTGAATAGTGGAAATATTTTTTTTCCGGGTACGTACTTACGTATTAACGGCTGACTTAAACATGGCGTCGAAAGGTATCATAACCTAGGGCAGAATGTTTTTATTGACGTACGGCAACGACGACCGTTTTGACGCCAGTTTGACTCACCCGTTGATATGTAAGTGCCCTTTTTCGTTCATTCGTAAAAATGTATGGGATAAAGCGCTACAGCATTTGAAAACCATTTTTGTAGGCATCCTATAAGTTATTCTTTTCGGTAGTATTATGCGCCGGCGAACTGAAGGATAAGGAGATTTCTTGATGCTATAAAAGTTTATGCTGTAGCTTTTAGAGTATATTTTGCTTCCTTTTATTGCAGTGAGAGTGGAGGTTATAGTTGATCCTTGCCGTAGTGGAGCTCAAGGGAGAGAAATTATCGATGGAATCCGGGAAAACTCGATGCTGTATTTGTTTCGTGATGCTTTGGACTGATGGTTGATAGTGTCATGGTGCTTTTGCGTTGGTAAATTTCTTGTAGTTGTACGTCCGTCTGTCTCTGACACGTATATGGACGTCTGTATTAAAGATAGCAAATGCATCTGTTTTATGACACTCGATACAAACATGAAGTTAATGGAGGCCTCTCCGTCTTCGTACTCTGACTCCTGTCGCGAACGCGATGAAGGGGGAGGGGTCAAAAGATATGACGTGTCTTATACAGTCTCGTCTACTTTAATTCGGAACTCACCTTCAAACGAATGAGATTATGGAAACCGAGTAATGGATGCACAACCGTTTAACATTTGCTTAAGGAACTCTTAGTTCTTTATTTGAGAAAAATCGTGTCGTAGACGCATGACCATAACGAATGGCTTGAAGGAAATGTCACTATACGTGTTACTTTGCGCTGTCTGAAGTTTAGTTTGCGAGTTTTGGCACGTTCATGTGACATTTAACATTCGTGAATAACAGAGCCAAAATAAATGAATCAATTATTCGATTTGTGAGTTGGAAATAAACTAGTGTAATTCAATTAAAGGCATTGAAATTTCGAATAATAATGAGTCTTTTGAGAGTATGTAACTTTATTAATCCATATTTTACAAAAATAAAAAAAGAGAGCATCACTCCTTCTTTTGACGCTGTGTAATCTGAACTACGGACAGAGTTGTTAAAAGAGGTAATTAAGTAAATATTGCTTCATAAAACATTGTTACTTACATTAGTTTTTTCTTATTTGGCTGCAATTAATAATACGCGGAACTAAATTTTATGTTGTATACTTTTGCGTGGTGCTTAATTAAGTAGGATTACAGGGACACATTTGTCATTTTACGTGCTAACTGACCTATCCTACATTATAACCGCCCTTGCTCCGCACCAGATGTAGTGATTATACCGCCATGACTGTACGCAGAGCTCCATATGTAAAGGCGGGAGGCGTCGTCGTCGTCAAATGCGTGGTACCCAAATCCGGTTTCGTGTTTTAGGTCTAGATTCTGTTAACCGCGAACTTCCATCCCTGTTGCAGGTGAACTGAGGTGTCTGTGGTCTTCACTTCGCCTCCCGGACACGGAAAGGACACAGGCGATATGGTAAGTCCAGTATTCACTTTTAATTCAAGGCATAGGAAACATTTTTGAAAACGAATTTCATTTCATAAAGCTCAGTTTTAAGTCAAGCTCTACTGTAGTAGCCGTCACCAATTTTGCATGCTTCATCGTCACAGCAGAATCGTACAACGCTGCAACACGAACAGCGGAGTCCGGACGAGTGAAGACGGTTCGGAATTCGCAGCGTAGCCGCACGGTTCGATTTATGTTGTTAGTTTATCCAGAAGACAGGCCAGAGTAGTTTCTGGGGAATGTTGTTTTGTAGTAGGTTGGAATTATTTGCGGCATGGGGAAGAATAAGGAAAACGAAAAATAGGGGGAAAGAACAAAGAACTGATGGAACCAGAATATTCTCATGGCACACAGTTAAGTTCAAAAACATTTCTTTCTTAGCCAGATTTTAAAAAAATTGCGCATTGCGATATGGACAATTGTAATTTGACGCTTTCTTGTGTGTGGGCATGAAATTTGGTTATCCCGGACAAAAAACAAGCTGAAGTGGAAAGCGGGAAAAAGCGAACACAGCTGAGGCTGACCTGAGTAGCTGGAAATTGCGTGGTTTGGTTATCCCTGGGCAGTAACATGAGCTGGTGCCGGGACGAACGTCCCGAATGTCCCGAACACAGCCCTGCTTCGTCTGAGTGGCTGAATAATGCAGCTCTCTCTGGCGATGTCCCCACTTCACCAGTATTGCCCGCATAAACTCCGGGCCCACTTAACCTAATACCAATGAAAAACGACGGCCGCTCGCACAGTATGCCTCAGAAAACAAATGGCAGCCTGGAGGAAGAAATCGACTGATCACTGTAATCAGGTGGAAGTACAGCATCAGCTCTTGGAGTTTGTGGGTTCGAATCTTCTTCTCATATTTATTTTTATCTCGGCATGAGTTTCCAAAGAAAAACATTTTAACAGTGTTTATATTACTCGAAATATGTACAGTAGGAAAGTAGGCTATTTGAGTTTTGTCATGACCTGATTGTTATTTAGTCGATCGAAAATATGTTACAAACAAATGTAGATTAAGGCGGGGTTTGTGTTTTTCATGAACCGCGTTTTTGTAAGGTGAACCATATATAAAAAAAATTCTATTTGATTCTCTTGTAAAATAAAAATGACATAAATCAGAATGCATACTGTATACTTCTGACAAAATATATTCGGTTCAGTTGTTTTTAAAGATGAAACATGCATGTAGACAGACGGAGGTTCAGAGAGGTACTCTTTCTTTATTAATTTTTATTTTATTTTATACACTTCGTGCAAAGTGATGTATATTTCCTCAGAGCATTAGGTCATGTGGGCCTAAAATAGCAGAGCTTTTCAAGCATTGTGTATCGTGCTTGGCTTTTACTCGGTGTAAAGACGGCGAGTTAAGTAATTTATGTACTGTTGAGCTGATACCGAGATTGGTCAGTACTTTTCATACCCAGCCCCATATCGGTAGCATCATTAATGTTAGGCTGAAGTTTGGTGTTATTTGATTTCCAATAATGCCAAATATTTGCCTTCCCCAAAACTACAGTCTTATATGATATTACTGATTTGATTCAAATTTTGAACTGAATAAAATTTGAGAAACTAGAGTGGTGTGATTGTAATGATACATATAAATGTCTCATGGGTCAATGCCAGAACAAATTTTAGGAACGAAAAGCAAATTTACTTACTAGAATGGCTTGAAATTATGGACGATATTTTTTTTACCTTGGCTCTACAGTTCTTGGAGAACGCAGATCGCCTCGTGTAGGTGAGATTTCGAAATCGTGATTATCGACATTTGACATGACTCCTTGCATGGGATGTCAGTCCAACGCAAGAGCTCTGCCTACATAGGATAACACAAACAGATAGACGAGGACAAACATCCATGCCTCGAGCGACAACATTTGAACCCATGAGGTCAGTATTCATCGGCCAAGACCAACGTTCTAGACCGCGCGGTCGCAGTGAAATGAGATGGACGTGTGATTGCGTGTGTGTAAATTACAGAACAATGGCGAAAAATGTTACTTTTTGGAATATTCGATCTGTAATATCCCCACAATTTATCGACAGTGGAATAGTCCATGTAATTATTACATTTTACGCTCCTATAACAACTTTGTTTTCAGATGACGGCATTTCTATAGCAGAAAAATATGGAAGGGTCTGCATTAAATTAAAAACACGGCTGACATCTAGCAGTCTTCTGGAGGTCAAGTCGACAACATTGTTCTGGTCATATGAAAACAGAAATGACCAGTTCACAAAAATATATTCTTCTTCTTAAATGAAAGTTTTGCTATAGGGGAGATTAAAACATTCCCACAATGTTTGTTGCTGTTGTGGAGCAACCACAGACGCTTCTCGATGTACTTGCTCCACCAATGCATTAGATTGTGTGTGTATGTGCTTACGTGCGTGCCCCTGTGGGCTGTTCGTGAAGCCATGAATGCATCGCCTCTTGAGCGCGGTATTCGTAGGCCAAAAGAGATTAGACTCGGGCGGCAGGAGATCCGGGCTGTAAGGTGGACAGCGAAGAACCTCAGACCCAAGTTGCGCAAGAATGTCACATTTGTGGGAAGCCGCATGTGAACGGGCGTTTCCATGACAACTTGGGTTTGACTTCCTTCTTCCCCATCCGGTTTACACACCCCGGACCTCCTGCAGCCCGAGTTTAACTTTTTTGGCCTACGAAAACCGCACTGAGAAGGCGCTGACTAGCTAATGTATCGTCATGTTTCTATTCCATTATGGAAGTAGAAAATGTGATAAGACGCGTAAAAATTGCAGTAATAGAGCTTAAAAAATAAAAGAATATAATCAAAGCAATTTGCGAAACTCTTAGGCGCAACTTGCCGGCCTCCACGGATTAGCAGACCCCTTGATGAGAAGTAATGCAGTTTAGTGTCTCGATGGGGGACGAAGGGACCTTGTGTTCAAATGTGAATGTGGTTTCTTTTCATTTGCATAAATGTGATAGTTTTCAAATAGAAATTGCGGAAACTTTCTAATCTCCATTGTATGTAATAAATTAAAATCGGATTAATTTGTTCCTGAAACAAATCTCGTGGAATGTGAGTGCATAAATTAGCAATACAAATTTCTATCGCTGTGGAATATTTCGTCAATTATTGCCTTGAACTTTGGGCTTGGATGTAAGAAATGTTTTTTTTGAGAACGACGGGTGGAATGTTGCAAGTTGAACCTTTAACCTTTTCCTGGGGCCTGCGGCGTGATTAATTGCGATTCTCTGTGGAACGGAACTACACCGGCGTTTGTTTTTAAAACATTGTACGAGCGAGGCCAAAGTTACGTGTTTTCGGGAACATGAGGTTCCTTTGCATTTGTTTCTAAACGCCCTACTTCATTTGTCATTCCTGTCTTAAAGACATTTTTGCAACCCGAATACCGAAATTGTGTAGACAGAAACTTATACCCTTAGTCTAGTAATTGTCTTTCAAGTTATTTATTGTAGTAATAACAACAAAATCCAACTACATTTCTGTGTTGCATCTTCATAGATTTTAATTTGTTTCAAGTTAGAGTTCCTTGAATTAGTATATGACAGTGAAATTTGGAAGCTTTGTGAATGTAATTACTTTCATGTAATATTTTGCCGAACTCTGTATTCTGAAACACCCATTCGCCAGTACTGATTGTGTTTTGTGGTGTTTTGATTGAAAAGTTAACAGTACGCTATTAAATCCATCCTGCTACTAGAAATAATTTAATAATATATTCTGGTTTTGTACAAAAGCAAAAAGTGTACTTGCTGTTTGAAGGCAGGAGAACTCCAACATTTCCTCGGCACTGCAATTAACTAACACAATAACGAAGCCAGTGATTACAGTACGGCCTGTGTTTTCTAGAGCTTGTTACATCCCCTTTGAAGTTTTCAACAGCTCAGGAGGATTGTTTAAATCATATTAATGCCGTGTGGACGTATTTCCTCTGTCTCTAGAACGTTAGATGGGCTTATGCCATGGGATTCATTGGGTTGGAGGTCTGTGATGGATTCCTAACGTCCGGTTCAGTTTTAACACAAAGCCACACTAAGCAAATTAGATCTTCAGTAGAACATCGGAAGGTCCCTGCGTCGGATACCGGATATTCTGACGGAGGTTTGTCATGCTTTCTAGAGTTACTCGATAAAATTCGCGGCTCTCTTCTGAGATGTAGCATCTTTATGTCTAGTACATATTAACCGACGTTTCAGAGGAGATTATTACTTCCATAATTCGGATGATCACTCTGATTTAGGTGCTACACCTCAAACCACAGCCCTTCACTTCCATTTTGTTTTAGTTCACATCTTCAGAATCTTGAATGTGAAACGGAAAGAAGTAAATATTTTGCTGTACGTACAGCTGCAAAAAAAATGTTAGTGGCAAGTTAAAGATAAATCATATAGAAGTTACACGAAGGGACGTACCAACCAAACGAATGGTAGTTATGCTGGAAGCATTGTGCTGAAATGCTTCGTAAAATACTGCGGGTGAAACACTAGAAATCAGTTTTGTTTAAATTTGTTCCTTCAGCAGTACAAATATGGCGGCCGTGTCAAGGTTTTTAGTGGAAGTGTACGAACTCATTGCGTGTAGAATCAAATAATTCTGTTGTGATACACGTGTATTTCAATATGCGACTTTTGTAACACTATTTTCTTTTTATGATTTTTAACTCCAATCTCGCCAAAGAAGAATTCGATATAACGGTACTGATAGAAAATTGTTTTCATGTATGTCCAGTCGGGCGAAGTCCTTATGTGGGCTTTAAGCGTGCAATTTGGTGACAGCTATAGTGTCTGTCATACCATCGTCGATGTTTAGTACGATTATCGATATTCTGATTCAGAAATATGCAACGTTTTATTAGGGCCGTTTTCAGGAAAGCGGTTTGTAAGTAATATCCCGACAGCGAGAAATATTTTGGTGTGTTCACTGTCGTTAATCGTTGTACTTGATACTTGACGTGTGTATTCTCGCTTGCCCTCGAGT